GACTAGACGGAATAAATGAATGTGAAATTAGAGTTTACTAATCTCATGCTCCCAATCTTAAGAACATAATAATCATTTCATTATAAGAAGTTGTGAATTCTTTTCTCCACAGGTAGGTCATACATTACTAGGCAATTCTCTCCAATTTCTGAAAATTCCAGCTCTTTAAATTTCATCCTTAATGTTGAAAAAAGTCCTGCTTCCCTAAAACTTCTACTCACTAGGACCATTCTGTTATCTTATAGTTGAAGCAAGTAAATACAATTCCTCTCCAACATGGCCCTTCAAATATGTCACCAGTGACCCTTTACATTCAATTTAGACATCCACATCTCCATCAACTGTGCCTATAAGACATGATTGCCAGATTCCTTATCCCCATGATCATCCTTCTCTGGATGCTCTTTAATGTCCTTCCTAAAATTCATGCCAAGGACAAGATTCAGCACTTCAAGAGTGGCTTACCAGAATGGAATAAGGACACAGTAAGATTTTCATACTGTATATTTTGGACATTGAACTCTGGCTTATTTATACTAAATGTGTCCTGATATTTTGAAAGGAGACCACATCACATTTATGCCATAGGTAGAGAGCTGCACTAGATAACACATTTTATAGCTATTCTGGTGCACTACATGAACAGACAATGCATTTGCTCTCACGGAAGGCTGCCTTAGCAAGGCTTAACACTATTTGACTGGGTTGGTCACTCTCCACGTCTGGAATGCCCTCTCCCTACTACAGCTATGTCCGGTCTTTGCCTTTGTTGGCCCTTCTTTATATCCTGGGAAGCTGACCTGTGGGGACTGTATTAACCAAATGCCCTCTTCTTCTGTCCTTCTAGTAGGTGCAGCCATAGGAGACACAGGCAAGAAATCCTTTTGAAAGAGTCATCTCTTTTTTGATGCACTCAACATTATAATACAGAGTAGAGATGAGTGACTTATAATATACAGTCAACATTATAATATAGAGTAGAAGTGAGTGAAAATCAAAATCAAAACACAGATAAGGATGCAGCATGCATAATCCTAAATAAAAAGCAAGAAACATATATATATGACATATA